CCCATATGTTTTGTACACAGTTGTCAATCGGGGACCTTCTGTCAATCGGGGACCTTATTGTCCTCTATTGTTCAAGGTCCCCAATTGAATGCAGAAACAAACTCAGCACTACCCTCCAAGCTCCCCGCACGAATTCACACCCCTTGCTTATAATTGGAAAACAAAATTCACTTATTGCATCGGATAAGTAACGTTTCCTTCCAAGGAAATCAAGGGAAAAGGCAAGAGCGCCCTCTACTGACGCCTGGCAGTGCATCACTTGGTCACACATTTTCATCCTGTTAATTTTGGCTCGTTCTTCTAAACTTCACAACTGTTTCTCATCTTGGTATATTCCATTTTTCATACATCGAGTCTACTTAGTTTTAAAGACGAGTACTTGCATATTACAATTATTCAATGCACTGACAACTGTCATACTAAGGCAGTTTTCGTATTGTAACCCAGACAGAGGCAGGTTTGGTAGTTCCAGAAATGCAACAATGCATCTCTTGTTATGTAGTTTCCATGCAGCAAGGTTCGTTTATAACCAAAGTTGCAAATGAGATGCATAGAGGCCTTCCAAAAATGACTATTTGAAGTGACCTGAAGCTTTGGTTGATGCAGTAGAGTCTAGATATATCTAATAAAAACTATTCCACAGACTATTGCCATAGATACCATATATACATGGACATATAAATATTTGATATTCTACTTACACCCTCATACACAAAGTATAAGCTCTGTACAAATAAAATCCAAAAACTAATTTAAAATCTTGTGCATTGCTAGGCCTACGAGTTCCAGTTAATCTCAGGTTTATTCAGTGAGTCTACTTATGAGTGCAAAGCTCATGACAGTGGTTGTCTTGGTGTGTTCGCAGCCCAAACGTGATATGCGATGCGTCTGTTGAGCGGTCGATGTCTTCAAGTGAAAAGTCTGAGGGCGACGAAACTCTCTTCCAGAATTCAAGAATTTAGAATACAGCCGGGAATTGCAAAGGCTGAATCATGGACAAGTCTGGTACCTCAGAGGCCAAAATCATTGGAGAGCACAGCACCTGATACCACACCAATATGAACGTGTTCAGTGCGTGAGGGTTGGCATTCAGCCGCCTTGGTGTTCCTGACATCAACTACTAATGTCCTGAATGACCTATGTTGTTGAAGTACCGAGCTAGCTTATTCTAGTTGCTAGAAATGGTAAACATCCTGAAATCAATCCCCCTAGAACACTTCTAGAGCCATATCTTGCTATGCCACTTCTTAAACCCACTTTGTGGAACCCATCTATAAGCTTGGATGAGTAGAGAGAGCCTCCAGGAACTGAAGGAGAACCTCTTTGCTCCGATAGGCTACCAACCCCCCGGCGTTGGCCCACATCTGCCCAGGGTCGTTGCTGCTGCTGGCGTCTCGCTCATGATAGTGCAGCTCAGCCGGTCCCAGATCCAGTCCAGCTGGATCTGCACCGCTCCCTGGTTCCCCACCGTGTTGTCCCCCCCGGTAGACCCGCAGGGCGGCTTGGAGGTCTACGACCCCACCGCCAAGGGACCGCAGTATCGCGTGCGGCCCGCAGGTGTCCCACTTGAACGTGCTGCCAGCTGTGAGGATGTACGCGTCCACGCGCCGCTCGACCGCGCACAGGATCTTGTAGCCCGCGCCGCTGGCATAGCGGATCTTACCGCAGGTGAGCCGGTGGAGCGCAGCCCGGATGTCCTCATTCTCGCTGCAGCTCGTGATGACAGACAAACCCCGGGTGGATGGAAGGTCGTTGAAGACCGGGGTGAGGGAATTGGCCTGCAGGTTGCCATGACTGATGCCCCATACATAACGGCCCTGCCACCTGCAACAAGAACAGAGAAACAAATACACTTGTAATATTTACCTCTGTACTAACTCATTTTTCCGATGAAGAAATGACAAAACAGCTAACTTCACGTAAAAAAGGGAGTTTATAGTAGCTAAGATGTTATTCCGTAGGGTTTTGGTAAATTTTGTAAGAACTAAGTAGAATTTTGAGAAACTACTAAATCTGTTATTTCACGATCCAAGACTCGATATTTAAAGCTATTCAATGGATTCTGAATAATTCATAAATTATATGAATAACTGAATAATTCAACCTCATTCACAACAGGTGTGTCATTGTCTGAAATACAAGCATATAGTAGGCTCCCAACATCATTCTGGCAACTGCACTGAACTCATTCTAGGTCAACGCAAACCAACTCACTGATTGTCACCATTGATTCTGCAGAATGGCTGGTTTATGACCCCAATCACAGGTTCCCCGCTCTGCCTGTCAAACGCTCCGATGAGTATTATTGCACACTGAAGTCCTTCTTCGTGGATGCCGTCCGTTGGGAGCTCGTCACTTAAGCCCTTGATGTACTGCGCTGTCCCATCTTGAAAGAGAATTGCCAGAAAGCCCTGATTTGGAATGATCTTGGACGGCTGGTGTTATGCAAGACTGGGCAATTTTCCCAAATATCTGTGTTAACTACAAGTTTGGGTTCGTTTCTACGTCTAGAACACTCAAGAAGCCTTCTCCGTTCAAATCAAACAAGGGTTTCAAAGTTTGGTTTCCATCATTTCAATTTAAAAGTTTCTAAAGAATTTTAAGAATCAGTCAATTGAACTCTTTACTGCTCAATCTCACCGATTGGATCGATCCAGATTCCCAGCGAATCAACATCCACCTCCGCATTCAAACTATCCAATCCTGGGTCGGTCGGCAAGGCAACATCATCGCAGTGGACCGCCTTGGCCAAGAGGGTGGCAGCGTCCCCGTTGCCGTCCAGGACCTTGGTGAGGAGCTGGCAGGTTTGATCCTCGGTTGACTGGACGGCTACTGTGATGGACTCGCCCAAGGTGTTGGTGAACTTGTTGGTCTCCTCTCCAAAGACGTAGTCGCCGAGATTCGGAAACTATCAAAAAACATCAGCAAAACAGGCTCCCAAAATTTGGTTTTAAACAGATTTAAGGAAACAGTTATATTGTTTCCAAAAGTCTATCCCATCAAATTGTGGCAAAATGCGAAAGAAATTGACACAAGCTTCAACAGCCTAGCCACAAGCTGTTTAAAAAAGATTTCTTTCTCCAAGCATGAAGGGGGAAAAAACAATGGTCTTAATTTTTACCAGCTAAGTTTGAAGATCCAATTCAAATTTTAAACAGAGTTTATTTGTTCAATTTGCACTTCTAGGGAGTTAAACCCAGGGATTGAAGTTTTAAACTAGACTGATGCTTGACTGAAGTTAAAAAAAAATCTCCAAACATCAAACAAGAGCAAAGATGACATTCTGTGTCTTTACCAGCTGACCCAATTCAGATTGCTAAATAAGCTTTTCATCACTCAATAACACTACAAATTGAAACAGAGCGAAATAAATAAGAAGTCTGAAACTAGACTGAAGTTTGTCAAAGTTAACGAGACAAGGGTCCATTCTGTAGTTTAGCGGCCTGCCTTTTGGGAAACAGAACACGGAAATCAACACCGAGTTGTTTTATGCCGGATGGTTTTGTTGACAACTTGCGCACTGTATTTTGCACTGAGGTGGTGATGGAGTGCAGGTTTATTTTCATGCACTGTCTGTTTTGGAGTTCCTAAAGTTTGAACAAGGAGACAAGGGCTATTGAGAGTTCTGCGATTCGGCCTCTACGACTCTTGAGTTTCATAAACATCAACGGAATTCTTGCATGGTTGCCATTTCCCCTGGGTAATGACCCCTATCCATGCTAAAATCCCCCCCCCCCAATATAAAAGGCCCCAGTTTTTAACCCCTTCACGGCGGGATTATTTTGACCGTGACTGCTGGGCTGTGGTATGCCCTGAATGGGGGGCTTTGTCCAGCAGCAGGCCCCATTGAACCAGCAGCTGCATGGTGAATGGACTGTATGTGTGGTAGGCACTAATGCTCACACAACGGTGCGGTAGTAGCAGTCCTCCGTAGCGAAGGGGTCAACTTGTCGGCAAACGAAACTTGAAAACTGTGGAAGTTTACTGTAGAACACCCTCCCCGCCTCTGAGGATACCTACCTTCTTGGCAATTTCATGGTGGATCATCTCCTGAATCAAGACGTCTCCCAGCGTCTTGAAGTCCCTCACGAAGCGCTTGTTCTTCTGCTCTCCCGTCTTCTCCTCCACCAGCAGCTCAAAGAGCGCCCTCTCCGAGCGGATGATGCGAGCCAGGTTGGCCGCCTTCTCAGACAGCTCCACCAGGGAGCGGAGGAGGGACGCCATGTCGGGTGGGGGCCGGTAGGCGGGGAGGGCGAGGGGGAATGAGCTTTATGATCCCCGGGAATGTGCGAGGATGCGTTGCTAGGGATCACCGCATCTGCAGAACTGGGTGACAGTATTGAACTTCTGCCCTGAAAGAGACAAAAGTGACACTCGTAGAACAAATTAAGATTTACAGATGAGCAACCTACATGACCTACATGACAGCATCAGTACAGTTCCACCATCCCTAATGTGCATGACCGTATACGACTGGTTGCCAGGTCCCTTTTTTCACCTTTTCCTGTGAAAACTCATCAGACTTGACAATAGGTGGCAAAATTAGGGACCTGGCTGCTATGGGGCAGTGCGGACATCCGGGAGTTTCACACAATTGTGGGTAGCAACCACACCGCGCCGGTGAAAACAACTGCAACAAGCGCGTGTGTACATACTGATTAAAGAAAACATTGTATAACCCGATCCTCAGACTGGCTGGTGCGTTCGTAGGTCGCCATGGTTGCTGTTTTCACTGGCGCAGTACCTATCATTTTGTGAGAATACCGGACGTCCGCGCCACCCCATACGGTCACACACGTTAGGTCTACCATGGGTCTACGCATTTTAAATCAATCTGAGAAAATCATGTGGAATGCATCATGGCCGCACCATACCTAGGCCCTATAATGTTACTTTCTGAATACCGTTATCTGGTGATGACTTAAATTCACATATGACCCATCATGTAGAACAGAAACAAGTTAGTATTTTGAAAGCTTAACAAGAACAGAGCCAGGCAATAGTAGAGCACTGAACTCAGAAGTGAAAATGAAATGGTCATGAACACGATAGTTTTCCTCTCCCTAAAGAAAACCAGTTAGGCGTACAAAAGGGAAATATACACCAGTTTCTTAGTCGGGGTGCAGTCTCTCAGGGCATGGAGGTAGAATGCTCAAGGTTATGTCCATTTTACCGTAGAATGAAGTAATGTTTGGCTTATCTACCGCGCCTTCAACAGGAACTGTCAAACCACCAATGATTTTTTTTTTCACTTGTACTTTCCGGTTGATTGAAATAGCGCCCTCAACAGTCAAACACAGTACGGCGAATTTAATCTGGCACCCCGACAAGAAGTCTAGTTCCCTAACGTCGGAGCCAGTTCGTACGTTATATATACTGACACGACTAAAGCAACTGGGGATGCACGTGTGCGTGCGTGGATCAGTCATCACCATCACCTGAGCTGCGCAGCGTAGCAGTGGGATCAGTTAGGGGGCCACGTGGCGAGTGCAAGTCGCATTTACTTCTTCTTACACCCAGCAATAATTCTAGGTGACCAAGTGGTTCATAATATTATCCCTGCACAAACATCATTTGACACCTTTAATTCCTGTCATTAGGTCTACTTATCATGCTTAAGTGCCCAAACATACCAAAGTTCAACCAACTTCACCATGTTAACCTGTCATCATGGTCATGCCTGTTCACAAGTTCATTGAGGGGAGCGTCAACACTCCTCTTTTTCAAATTTTTCATTGGATCGGTCATACTTCCGAAGAAGGAGAGTACTACTATTGCTTGAGCCCCACTCAGTAGAGCTAGGCCTAGTTCGCAAGGTATCCAAGAACTGTGGGTACGTCGTCCACCGCGATCGGGAGTGTTAGCAACAAATGACGAACCCCACAGTTCTGGGGCTATTTGCAAGAGTGGTTGAAAAGTAATAAGCTTGTTTATTTCTAAGTGAATATATGTAATTTAATGTTTTCTTTACCCTGCCAAATTTTTGACTTTAAACATGTTAAACCCTGACCCACAAATGTGTATGTGAAATCATAAATTGGAAGACGGGGGACAGCTAGCATTTACAGTGGCACTTACCTCCAGAACTGAGGGGTTCAACCCCCTCAGTTCTGGGTGTATGTTGGTCTCTGATGCTTGATACACCATTGCAGGGAAAATTAGTGATGTCCATGCATGGAACCCTTTCCCATATTAATGGCATTGATCACGGTCCATTGCTGTTCATGTAGGGACTTCATTTTAGGAAGCTATGGCCAAAAGCGGAAGGAAGAAAAAGGAGAAAAGGAAGGATTTCCAGAAAGTCAAGTTTAAGGTCGGCAAGAAGAAGCCCAAAGCCGACAACTTCACTGACACCACTTTCAGGTCACAGGCGATCCAGATCCGCGAGCAGCTGAAATCAGGACAAGCTGACACCGCCGAACCGACGACGCAGAAGAAGAAAAATATTCATGTGAGTGCAACTGGCCTATCTCAAAGCCTGCCTAGAAGGCAGTGGTACATCCCAGGCGTGCCTAAGTTTTCTGATCAGTAATTATTTTGGTTTTTTGGGTCTGTTTTTTGGCTTTTTGTTTGTTCTTAGATTTCGGAATTTTAAAATGTGCACCATAACGTAAGTCTTGTTGGAGTGCCAAAGGTGTTGTGAATTTGTAAGAAAAAAAAAGTAATTTCAGAAAAAAAGATGGAGACTTTTTTCTGCATTTCAAGGGAAGCTTTCATTACCCTAAAAATGAAATCTTTCTGGTCAGGAAACAGAAAGTACACTGAAAAAAAACATGGAATAATTTTGTGTTAAATTTGCTACTTTATCTTTGTACTTTTAACTAGTTTTGCCGTTTATTTTTATCCCATTTAGAAGTGAAAGTAAGAGTCAACGTAATTATTTAATTGTAACAATTGGAATGTTTCCATTCAGGACCTTCTGTGCCATCTGAACCACTACAATGCCGCAGTTCGTCAGTCAAGCATCGCCGGCATGAAGGAGCTTCTGTCATCTCATCCTTCACTGATTTCTCAGCATCTGTCTCTCCTGATTGACAGTCTCTCTGTCCTCATGATGGACAAGGAGGACATGGTCCGCAAAGCAGGTAACCTTCCCAAAATGTTACCCTTTTTCTACCCAGAATCACTGGTGTGGTGAAGTCCGTCCACAAAACTAGACGCAGGACCAGTCACAAGACTAGTCACAACATTAGACCCAAGACCAGACACAAGACCAGTCACATGAACATACATAAGACCGGTCACGAGACCAGTCACAAGTAACAGGGTCAACAGTGACAAAGGAATGCTTTTGTTGCAGTTCATTTGAACAGGTTGTGACTTGAATTCAGACTGGAGGTCTCATGTTGGTCATGTTATGGTCTTAGTGATTCAGCCCCTATAACACTGCCCAGCATAGTGTTAATGGTTTGACTAATATCCAATAAAGACACCCTTGTCAGTGATCATTGGACTGGTCCAGTGTGGCCATGGCTGTTGGATGTGTACATGACCGAAAGAGGGCGCTTTAATTTGTGAGTGAGCAGTGATGTCCCTCAAAGGTCGGCGTACCACATGTGTACCCTGGCTCATGCAAGTATGACATAGTTCATCTTCCAGTTGTGATTTCTAATGCCCTGGGAATTAGAAAAGAGGCAATGTCAAAATATCTGGCTCTGGCTAGAAATAATGCATGCACCTATGGAGTTCTGTAGGTAGCCGCTGAGTGCAGTTCCTATTGATATCTATGTTATTGCAAGTCACAGCGAGATAATTCAGACACGAGATGTTACATTTCTCCCTTCTTAGGTATCTCACTTCTACAGCTGGTTCTGCAGGCCACGCCGGCTGACAACGTGGGGCCGTTCTTCCCCATCCTGGCCGCCCATCTCACCTGTGCCATGACCCACATCCAGGAGGACATCCAGCTGGACTCACTAGCCGTCCTGGACCTGATGCTGGCTTCCTACCCCCGCTTGCTGACCGTCCGCAGCCAGGAGCTGCTAACGGTCTTCGTCCAGTTGATCTCCCGCCAGCGCAAGAGGACGGTCGGCTGGACCGAGGGCGAAGCGGATGGAGGGGACCTGGCGGTCAAGCCGGGCAGCAGGATCTCCAGCCACAAGTGGAGACAGAAGGTAGGGAATTGGACCTCATAGCCAAAAATGTATTGTTAGGCCAACTCGCTGTTTTAGGG